ACACGTTTTGAAAGGGGCCTTTTTATTACAGGACCCTTTTATTTTTTCAAGTCCCTCTCAGAGGGCCCTTCTAATACAGGTTTTTTAAAACAGTAGTTGTCCTTGTGGAACCTTTGGCTACGGCCACCGGCGTTTCTCTAATACTTTTTAAGCCAGATCTATAAAAATAAAACGATTACCTTCTAAATCTTCGTTTCCTTCAATTTCTCTATCGAAAACCGCTGCACTCAACTCCGTCAAGCCTTCGATGAGCTTCTCATAGGCTTCGATGGTTCCTTCGAAGCTCAAAAAACTGCCTGCATTGCTCTCCTCCAACTTCTTGAGATCCAAAGATCTTTTTAAGTGATCAATTATTTTCCGATCCAAAACATCTCTCAAGCGATCATTGAAGTGAGGGAAGTGCACTGGAATGGCGACTTCGATTAACATAGATTTTGTAAAACAGATTACAGGCAAAAAACGTTTTTTTACACATTTATCACCGGAAATTTCAAAGATATCCGAAATTGTCATTGAAAATTCGGACGGTCAACATTTGTTCTGATGGGAAGAATGATCTCCTAGTCCACGGCCACAATAACAATGTGAGTTTGAAAACCATTTCTCTTATTTTTCCGGATTCTTTTGGAAAATGAAAGACGTTGGTATTTTCCCCCTGTATTTCGAAGCTAACCAGTAATTTTTTTAATATGGCGAGCCCTGATATCTATTTTCCCATGCTCCATATATTTTCACAGACTTTCCAACCCATCCGTCACGGTCTACCATTTACGTGTTATGGGAAAATGAAACATCATGGACTTAGTGTCAGGTTGCTAAAGAGACACACGGTTCTTGTTTCAGGATATTCCCATGCATCGTTGAGGTGTTACCTGTGGGAAAGGGGCGTGGCTTCCCAAGTAATGTGAAGACAGAAATTCTGAGAAAAAACCAACATGAGAGCAGGACATTCATCATTTCTGATTTTTTTTCTTCCGCCCGGTTCGTTATTGTTTCACCATCTTTCTTATTGCCTTCAATTTTCGTATTGTGTAATGAATTTGAATATTTTAGATTATCTATCATGCATCCAACTGTCTATGATATGCCTTATTTGATCCAAAAATCGAAAGTGGAGAAAAAGCGAGTGGCAGATTGTAGAAATGTTATCGAAGAAATGAAATCTACTCTGATTTCCAAAGGTTACAGATTGCCCAAACAAATGACCTCGTAAGTTGTTTTTGAATTATACAATAGTAGATAAATGTAGTTTAAAGGTTCAATGTTTTTGATCAATACAATTAATGAAAAATTCTTTCAGGCAAGAACTCATCCTTTTTGAAGTTGTTATGGTCTTGAAAGGAGTCGATTTGAAACTTGATTTTAGCAAACGATCCTTCGAACAACACCAGAAAAAATGACCAGGGAAGAAAGACAAGAATTGAAAAAAACAAGAGAGCAGTATCGAAGGAACAAAATTGATGTAGCTTGTTCACATTTAGAAGAGTTCCTCATCATGAACAATTTGAACGGAATATTTGGGTAAGTAAAAACAATCATTTCAAAACTCTGGATACAATAAATCCCATATACTGTTAGTGAATCAGAACTAATGAAGGAATACGTTAGTTCCCATTACTTTAACACTTTCTTAATCTCATTTTTTTCCAGATCAAAATTGACGCGGCTCCAAATGCTGCAACTCGTCAGAGACCATCTCAAAGCCCTACCAGATGTCACCTCTCCGGCTCCATTATCACCATCTCTGAAACACAGCATTGCTGGAATTCTTGCCTCTCGGAAAAGTTCAACTCCGCCCTCATTCATTGACATGCCTGTATACAAACCTGTTGAAACCGAGGAATTGAACAACATGAAATACAAACAGTACTTGCAATTATTTCCCACTATTTTTGCATCCCTGATTTCTAGAAATCAGAGTTTCCTTGTTCCTGATGCTCCCGAAGGAGACGAAATGATTGATATTGTTGGATAGAAAACTTTTTTTTGTGTTCTTAAACATTTTTTGCATTCTGTGACACATTGTTCTTATCCTCACTTGTATTAACTTCGAATAAATCTATGATTTCCCTTAATCATGATATTTAATTGATGGAGAATGACTTCTCCATGTAATAGGTAAAAGTCTTTCACATGTTTCGAGATTTTTTAAACAAACCTGTATTCAACTTCAAGAATATTTCAAGAAGCAATATGTTGTTCATTATGGTCTATCACACCCTGCCAACGTTTCGGTAGATTTTTGATGCCTCTCGCGTAGAACTTGTGTGGTTGTTGCACGAATGAGGCATCCAAATACGATTTGATGTCTGATCTTTTATCGAATTTCTTGCCCTTTTAACCATTCTAAAGCAAGCTGAATGAATAAAATTTTGTTCGATCGAGGTGTAGACTATACCATAGATAAGCTATTACTTATATATCTGCACTCTGGGTTTTTTGGCGAGTCACCACATCCGAATGCGGGTGCGCATTATCGTGAAGCAGAACAAATGCGACCTTTTCTGGACGCAGAGCACGATACGCACTAAACACTTTTTGCAGTTAGAGAGTGTATATGTCTGTAGTTACGATCGCACAACGGAAACATTTTTCCATAGATCACCCCATAGAAATTCCACCGAATGCTCAACATCTTCCTTTTTTCACAAATTTTTACTTTGTGATTGATTGGAGTTTGGCATACCTCGACTTACTGACGCTTTCTGTTTTCTTCAACCTACAGACTCTCTTTCCTGGCAAAAATGATAATGTTTCCTGACAATAATGATAATGGATCCTATCGAAGGTTCGCTTACGAGTGAGCAACGATCAACTCAAGACAACTAGTTTCAATCTGGAAATGGTGTGACACCAGTTGACCGAATTTCTCTCGGTGTCCTCTCGGTACAGTTGTAGTAGGTCAGCCGAGGGTAGAAGAAATTTCACGGACAGTGAGTCTCAGCTCAGCTTCTAGCGCTTTCTGGATAACGGCGTCGATACTTGAAAATATGTGATCAAAATGAAGTTTTTTCAGAAGCGAATATTCGCCGTTCCGAAAGAGGTTGAACCGAGGTCACACTACAAAATACTCAAGTAACTTGTTACCAGTTACGAAGCATATAGATCGATAAGCAGCGGCAGCGGATTGTTTCACACATCCTGAGATTCGTTGGCGATGCTCTCCAAAATGGACTGAGAATTTTTGAAACAAAGTGACATTTTCTACTGAACATGAGCTGAAGATTATTAAAACAAAACACAGAAAACAAAATTCGATCGGCAATAATGTATGAAATGTGCGTTCAAAAAATGTGAAAGACTTACGGAACAACCTAATACCGACTCTGAAATGTGACTCTAAAAAATTGTTTTCAAAAAAATTAGACATTATAGGAGGAATTCCAAAGTTGAAAGTAGACAAATTACTGAAATAAACTTTCGTCCGAAATGAAAAAATATTGTCGCTACAAATCGCAGAATTTACAAAAATAAATATCCTCAATTTCTCCAATCCGTTGTTTCAGATAAGCCCAATGTTGTTGTGATGGCGGCGATGATGAAAATGACTACTCTGATGCACAGATCTCAAAATTTGAATTCTTGTGTTTTCGGAACTTCTTCGATTTCTGAATTTCCCCTTTTCCCAATTTCCCCAAAATAATCAGAATTTTAAGACACAATCTCTGAGAAACTCGCTGTCTGGGGATCAGATTTCACTGTCCCAGTTCACGCCCTGCCTGTCGATAAACATGTTATAAACAATTTCTTTTTAAATATATCGTACTTTCCACTATGTATTATTGTACTTTTGCCACTTTACGGATACCTCATTTTTTGAGATACCGTAACTTTTGAAGTACTGTATTTTTTTCGTTTTTCCGATACTCCTGGGATTTTATATTTTTTGGATACCGGTTTTTTGGGATACTGTGTTCTTCAAGATACAGTCCTTTTTAGGATACTATATTTTTGGGGCCCTGTACTTTTAAGGATTGTATCTTTTGGGGTAGCGTAATTCTTGGGGTACTGCATTTATAGAGATACAGTACTTTATGGAATACTGCGCCATACTAGATATAGTTTACTATTTGAGATAGTGTATTTTCAGGAATAATGTACTTATTGGGATACTGGTTTTTTAGAATTACTTTCAGGAATTGTCAAAGTTTCGCATATTCAGTTTTTCAGAAAAATTCTGAGATAAGAAGAATATGTGAATACGTTTAGATTTTTGAAATTCAAAAATTCCTGCATTTTTTGTGTTTGTTAGATTCCAGATTTTCAGAACCCATTAAAATTTTTGAAATTTCAAAACATCATTTTCAAAAAGTAATTCAAAAATTTCTCAGGTTCGATCCCCCTTGTGGCATCAAAATTTTTTTAACTTTTGATTTTCGATTTTAGAAAAAAAACACCTCAAACTATTGTCTCGGCCCTGTGAAAAAAGTTATGAGCTTTGGAAGTGATTTCAGTACTAATTTCTCACTTTTGGAGTAAATTTTTTTCTCTAATTCAGGGTTACTGTAGAAAATTGGTTTTAACATAAAAAATGAACAAAAATGTACCAGAAACAGAAGTCCAAAACATTTGAGCCGATAACATTATTTTGAAAAAAAATTTTTTTCGGGGTTACGGTATCTTTTCGCGCCTAGGAGGGGGCGTGGCCTATGGGTATTATGATCAAAAGTTTTAGATTAGCCCCTATATACACCACATACAATATCAGACTCTCACGACCATTTTGAATTTTTCCATTCGCCTGTTGACCCGATCTCAATTCTCTCAGAGAATGTGTCTTAACTTCTTTGGATTCAGATTCCCTCAAATTATCAGAGTTTTGAGTCTTCTTATGACGTTTAAATACTAGATTCAATTGAAATTGAGTTCTGACCATATTTGATAGATTTTCAGTTTGAATTAATTCTTATATTTATTTTTCTATCTTCTCATGTTTTGAATTACTCTCTAAAAACTTAGTTCACAGTTATGATGGTCTGAAAATTGTAATTTCTCGTATCGACCGGTGTCCGTTTTTCTTGGTCATCTACTTTTGATTTTTTGCACTCAACTTTTTGTAACATTTCAATTCCGCCTATCTCATGTAATTTTTCCTAGAATCTCATCTACACAGAGTATACGGAGGATACCTTATTTTTACGCACTGCATCCAATCGTATACTTCCTCATTTTTGTGACTTATCATATAATTGTCGTATACTTTCAGGGGTTTTCGCTTTTATGACTCCTTGGATCACATTTGTCTAGCTCCTCCTATTTTTCGGTATGGATTCTGGGATTTCTATCTCACCTCTACATCTATATTCATTGTCATCTTATTCATTTTTTGTCATCCTTTATTAAACCGAGGACTATTTTTGTCATCATTTTCCGCCTACTTATCATTCAAACTTACCCGTGAATATTCTCAATCCTATCCTCAGTTCATTATTCAATTCTTATTTCTATCCAGTTATCATATCATGTCTTCCCAATCAACTACCATCGCTGCCCCAATTGTTCCGCTTCCACTTGTGGTTGCGCGATTGTATTCAGTCTACGTCAAAGGAGAGTATATGGACTTCCTCTTGAATGATGATCATCAGAAGTCGGGACTCGTGTTGCTCATCACCAGGTAAGATTTCTTTTTTCCAATTTTTTTTAAACATTCTCAAGAACTTCCGAAAAATGTGGTTCTTTGTTTTTGAATATACTTTTTTTTGAGTTGCAACAAAATTTGTAATACCGTAAAACCTGTTATAGAAGGGCCCCCAACTTTCAAATTGGAGCTAATTCATCTGGGTAAGAGTAAAAGATACAAAAAGTTGGTTACTGATGTATTATTCATTGTAATATCACAAACATTTATTTTTGACATATTTGCAATATTTCTTATAGAACCTGGGATAATCGAGCTCAAACTTGACAGTGTCGCTGTTTGTGAGCCGGAAAGGTTTTGAAACAGTACACGGTTTTCCCAGATTGAAAAACAAACTGCTAGTCCGCAGAGAAATATGTGAAGTACCAGATTTATTTTTTGCTAAAAACCCTTTTCACCCGTGCTTACAACTTTTGCAATTTTCTCAATTTTGCGTCCAAGTTGGTTTGAAATTAGGGAAGAAATCGAGGTTTTAGCATATTTTGAAACGGAAATTTGTCGAGCTGTTCGATAATTTAGTTCTGTTTAGTTATTGAAGAAACAAGTTAGTTTTGCTGCATTCGGAAACTGCTAAAACTTCGATCTCCTCTATCATTTCTTTTTAGAACTAGTTGCTTTTCTATTCAACATCTAAGTTTTGTTTAAAAAATTTCGAGTTGACAAAAAATTGAGACCAAAATTGAAAAAAATTCTCTTAAAAATCCAAAATTTTTTTTGAATCCAAAATTTTTATTAAAATCCAAAAATTTCTTTAAAATCCAAAATAACCAACTAGAGCTAAAAAAACTCTGAAAACTGAAAAGCGCAAAAAGAGAACGAACGTAATTTACTGTGAAAACCGTGTTGTAGTAAAAAAAGAAATGAACAATTTCGAAACTTTTTTCAATCAAATATAATAGTTTTGAAGTTTCAGTTTATGTTTTCCTCATTAATTAATTTTTTCAGTCAAATGGCACCCGTTCTGCATATCTTGGGTCTGGAAGCTCCATCTCTCAACATGCCTTCAAGAGACTTGGTTGACTCTGTCAATGATCTAAATACTCTGGTATCGGATTTCCACAGAAATGTAAGTTAATTTTTTTTTCCAATTTCTTACCCTTCAATAATGTTTTTCAGGCGCCAAATTACTCATTTGGAGATTTCAGTCTGGATTACTGCACGACAGACACTCTGTTGGCAATTTTGGAAATTAGTAAAAGATGCGCTGACGTCGGTTCGTTGAGAGGAGGCGCCACTGGAGCGAAGGTGAGACTTTTTTCCAAACTTGTCATTACCTAGTATAGAATTGTACAATTGGTTTTCCGAACCATTCTTTTATCATCATTGGAAAAATTATCAGCATTTCGAAATCTTTCGCTAATATAGGCAAATAGTAAAAAATTCAGTTCAGCGCTTTCAAGTATGCATTTTTTTGATAGAACACTTTCTGAAATTCAAAATAATCAAAATTTTGAGTTTTTCAAACTTTTTTTCGAATTCTTCTCAGTTTTCAAAAATGTTCTTTAAAGTTGGGGGGACAGGAGAATTTACACCCTTATGTTTACCATCTGGCGCCCGCCCTCCTTTGCCTGTGTGGCTCAGTCGGTAGCGGCGCCGCACCTTCAATACTCGCCCCGACAAGTTCAACTCCTCGAGGGACATATTTAAACTGAATTTCAAGAACATTATTTTTCATGTCCCCCCACCTTTAAGAGAAATCATACTTGAAATCCTGAACTTATTTTAGTCTGAAACCTACCCATTTGCCTATTATATCACAGTGTCAAAAAGTTTCAAAGCCAAAAATTTTGAATACAAAAAATTGCAGAGAAACTATCACAAAAACCTTAAAGTTTGATATTTCAGGTGTTTGGTAATTTGAGTGTACGACAAATTGCGGTCACTTGTGGAGAACTGAATATTGGAGAGAAGGACAGATTTATCGACATTGGTTGTGGATATGGACAACTAATGTGCACGGTGGCCGCACTCACCCAAGCCGAGATGTCGACTGGAATTGAGTATCAGAAGCACATCTATGATGCTGGTGTTTTACATCTTCAATTCTTCAAAAATCTGATGAAGTTTTTCGGGAAGCGGCACGGAAACATCAAAATTGAGTATGGAGATGTAACAGAAGAAAAGAACCACTCAATGGTCACGTCATCGACTTTCATTTTTGCTAATAATATCGCGTTTCGCGATTTGAACGATCAATTGAAGAAAATCTTTTTGAACTGCCGGAATTCCACACAGATTGTCAGCACGGATCCTTTTTTTCTCAATGAGAACCAGTGGAAAGGAGGGAAAATTTGACACGCACTTCAACAAAAAAGGTGAACCGATTTGAGTTTGACAAATAATCAAAAACTTCAATTTTCAGATGAATTGTTCAAGATTTGCAAAGTCAGAAGTGTGAAAGAGAAGCAGCTGGAAGTGGTCAAGAAGAACACCGACTGGAAAACAAAAAGCACGGTGCTCTATCTAATCACTATCAACAGAAAAGTTTTGGAAAAGGAAAATGAGCCGGTCGAAAAAATGGAATACGAGGAGGCAGCAAGTGGAAACGTTCAAAACAACACAGTACCAATGGATGTGGTATACAGAGGAAATGAAAAGAAAAAAGATGACTGCGGAAGAAAATCGACACGAATTGCCAGACGCCCCTTTTCTGTCAAATATAAAACTCAAAAGGTCCAGAAGTCCAAAAGAATTCCTCCTCAAAAGCCTATCAAACTTCGCAAACCCGCGTGCGAAACAATGGTTCCCTGTCAGAACGAGGTAAGTTTTTATATATCATCTAATTTTCATAATCTTTGAATTTTTCAGTGCTGCATAACAAAAATGAAATTTTCGAAAAAAGCAGGCAGGTATCAGTTCGTTCTCCACGCTTTCATTCACTCGGAGAACCAGTTTGATACATTCTGGGACTGTAATGTTTGTGGTTTCCGGTGTGGATCATTTCAACGGTGCAGAGACCACTATAAGAATCATCACCGAGGCACCCTCCGAACCGGATATAACATCTCGCGCTTGCTGCAGACGTTTCCCAAATATAAAGATCATTTCGCGGCTTGTTTTGGAGACCACATCGAATTATGATTTCAAAGTACTCCTTCTAAATCATAAATTTCTCCTTTCTTCATTTTTTTGCTGTTTCTTCAGTTCCTTTTTTTCTTCCAACTTACCTGTTCAATTCAATTTTCTTTTTTTGTTATTTCATTTGTATACACAATAAAACATAATATTAAAAAATGTTCAATATTTTCACCACATGGTCAGAAGGGGTTTTGAAAATTTGCAATTCAATGAATGTCCGGAGAAACTGGTCAATTTTGTGATTCACAACTTTTTTGTACAATTCAAGGCGGTGACGGTGTTTTTTTTTATTGTCCTCAATTCAACAACTTCTGCGCTTATTTTGTTTTTATCTAAGTAAAGAAATATTGCCAGATGAGTTTTCTGAAAAGATAATGATTTGGAATCTCTATTTCTTCATTTTGAGTGTTGGAGCAAAAAATCACTACTGCGTAAACGGACACAGGAGTGTTGTGACGCAATTTTTCTGTTGTATTTGAAGGCGTCGATAGATCTGGGGTGAGTCTACATTTTAGAAGTTGTTATTTTGGAAATTTTTTAAAATTAAATTTTTCGAAATCGAAAAGAACATTTTGAAACTTGGATATAATTTCGTGAATACTTTATACATGTTAACAGATAAAAAAATTTAGTTTGTTTTATGCCAATTTCAGCAAACTCGTTATTAGCCAGGAGTACAAATCTTTCACGACTGCGTCGATGGACGCAGGTTTAGACGTGATGGTTTTGCAAGTTTAGTTTTCCAGGCCATGGCATTTAAAGGTGGGGAAACATGAAAAAATTATTTTCTCGAAATTCCGTTTACATACGCCCCTCGAGGAGTTGAACTTGTGAGGGCGAGGATTGAGGGTGCGGCGCCGCTACCGACTGAGCTACACGGGCAAAGAGAAAGCAGACGCCCGATTGCATACATAAAGGCGAGGACGACAGCTGTACGCAGAGTGACATTAAACGTTGTACACCGTCACGGTAGAATGCATACTCTAGCTACAAAAAAACTACGAAAAATCTCCTGTCCCTTCACCTTTAAATGACCTAAAAAACCTACCAGGTGAATAGATCATTTCTAGGCCACTTATCATGTTGGACTGGAAAATGCAACTTTCAAAAGTCAAGGTATCGCGTGAAATTGTAATTGTTTCGAAAAAAATTTCAGGAATTTTTCGAGAAATTCCTCGTAAAAATTTTCGATACTTTTCGAAGAATTTGTCGAGGAACTTGTTGAAAAATATTTTGAAATTTTTCTCGAATCCGTGTTTCTTTTTTGTACGCCTCTTTTCTGTCTCTTGCTCTCTAATCATGACTCAGAACTCTCTTGGACTTCTGCGTCTCTCTTGGATTTTTGCATCTCACTTCGCCGAATGTCAACAGTCCTCCAACATCAATCGAGTCATATTTATTTATTTTTCCCTTGGCGCAATGTGCGCGCCTATTATTTTCCTGATTTTTCTAAAACTATAAACTTATTCCTATATTCCACGGCACCTAGAAATGAATGTAGCCTAGCTATTTTAATTTTTCTGGTTTTTATCAAAATTAACAAGGTGAGACGATTTTTCAAGTTTTCCTCTTTTCATTGATTTTTCGAAAATTCGAGGGGTTGAGATTATGAAATTGGCGATTTTTGAAAAATTAGTTGGCCTATAGAAAAATACTATTTTAAAATTGATTTTTAAAAATATTATTATACAAAAAAGTTCTGCATTCAATTTCAAGCTAGTCGTTCGAGTTTGAAACATAAAACATTTTTAAACTAAGCCCTTGTGGCATTTTCATCAAATAAAAAAAATCAAGATGATTTCAGAAAACGACTGTTCTACAAAAGGACGTCGGTTTACCACATGAGATGTTCTATAGATTTTTGGGAAAAAGCATCGGTTGGCTGGTCCGGAGAATTTCGCACTCTTCTATCATTTGTTGGCACATAAATTGGATCCACAAATCTTCATGAATGCGTTCTGTGAGCAAAGTATCGTGAGCATCTGACATCAAACCGAAGTTCGATGAGGATTTACTTCCAACCAGCATTGAAGTCGAAAATTGGCCATAATATGCCGTTGCTTTGCCAGCTGCAGCTGCCCCTTGTGTGATGTCCTCGGAAGATGTCAACGCGTTATTTGATAACAATGAGGCCTACTTCAACTTTCAGAAGCGAGGACAAGCAATGGACAATTCGAACTCGAAGACACCAATTCTCCACTAATTATTTGTTTCTTTTTTTGTTGAGAAAAGCGTAAAGTGTAAATAATAAAATTCACATACATACACCATTTTGAGACAATAAACTCCAAATGAACAATTGACTCATAGTGGGGAAATCAATACATTAAAGAAAGGAAAATAAAATAAGGGAACATAGAAAAATGAATGAGCTCATTTTATTGCTTATTAAGAATCCTAAGAATCCTAAAACTCCTGATAGTTTTAGGGATTCGGAGAATCCTGAAAATACTGCAAATTTTAAAGCTCTAAAAATCCTGAAAATGCTAAGAACTTCAGAATCTCTTCTCAGTCTGAATGCAAAAAGACATCTTGTTGGACAACCGAGCGTTTCTGTCGTCATTCAGAAGACAGAAGCATCGGATTTTCCGCCAAAAATTGATTTTCAACGACATCAATGGTATCAAACGCAGAAAAAACAAAAATAATAGCCAAGAGATGACCAGATAAAATCTAAGCCGAGTATTTGGAACAGGTAAAGCGACTCCGTCTTGTGCAGTGTTTGACGTGCTCTACTGAAACGGAAAAAAATAATTTAAAATTCAATTAGTCGCCCTTCATTCGAAAATTAATGTTTTTCAATTGCACTTTAGTAGAATTTTCCGTAGAATTGTTATTTTTGTGGAAAACAGTTTTATAGTAAAATAAGAAAACTCGTAAAATTCCAATTTCTGCCTTTTTGATAATCATTTTTTCGTGAATCGTTTGATTTCTGAGAACTATTGATTAAAAATTGTGAGCTACTGTTTGATATCAAGAATGTGAAAACCATCGGACTATTTTTTCTTTAAAAGCTAAACTTCCAAAAATCCGCTGAGAAAAATAGCCAAAAAACATTTTTAAACTGCCCGCTATTTTTTTTTCTTCGGCGGAGCGAGGTTGCAGCAAATTCCCAGAAACCGCAAATCCAGGTACTTATCCACTCTACTAGATCTCTTGCCAGCACTCCTTGTTCACGTGCATTTCCTTCTGACGTCATATTAATCTTTTCCCATCATCTTGGCCCTTTCTTTCTCCACCATCTTGACTCTCCTCTTCTCGATATGCGCGCGCATATCGATTTGGTTGCACTCTAACACTCTGAAGACGGATCTGCTGTCTCTGGTGACCCCTCTTTATGTGGAACTGCGGAGGGCCATCCTCCCAACACGTTCTTGTCCGCGTAGTCAGTTCGCCTCACATTTTTTCAATTTAACCCGCTTTTTTCATGAAAACTAACGTTTCATTATTTCAGATTGCTTCAATCACTGACTCCAACATTTCGTCTTGCTCAAAGCCGATTTTTCACGCCATTGCTGCTGTTTCTGCGTATTTTTCGTGAGTTTTATCAAACTCTGAAAAAAAAAATCCATATCAAACCGAAAAATCCTTTAATTTGAATAAGCGGAGAAAGAACAATTCTATTTACCTTTTAGAACAGAGACAGGTGTCTGCTCAAAACCAAATTCTCAATATTACAGTTGTCCTTCGACTGGCGTGGTCACCAAGACTAAAATTTCGGAGTTAGAATCACATGGCTGTTCGAGACCTCTGCTGGGATTGCTCCGACATCATGACTCTTTCGAACCAGAGGAATGTTGCCATCAAAAGGATAGTTGAATTACAAAGAAAGAAGATTCCGATCGAATTGAAAACCCATCCAGGCTAAGATGTTGGTACCCGCAGAATTGGATTTCTATCCACAATTACTTGATCGTTTGCGCAGACGGGACCGCAGCCGGCAAAAACTATGAGAAAGTCTACGATACTGTAAGTCACCTTTTGCTTTCAACTAAATTCTCTTAACGCGTATGGAAGATACTGAAAATCCGTTTACAGGCCCTACAACCATGCATAATAGGCGACTGGAAGCTGCCAAGGCAAGAAAAGAGTGAGATCTCCATCTACACAAAGGAAAGATGAAGGCAGTGTAAACTACGACGATTGGGACAGAAGTCAAGCACTGCGGCTTGAAAACCGCCGAAACATATGCTTGCGTCAGTTTTGTTTATATGAATGATCGAGATGTGCTACTTTCTCAAGGTAAAATCTCAGTCAAAAGACCGGCGGAGCAAGAAGGTAGAGCATCTTGTGAAAATTTCAACGTAGTTCTGCATGACTCATCGTCTCAAATGCTCGGACCATCCTCATCGCTTCATGGATTACCAAAATATATTGTCCAATGTCTGACAGACGTTAATTTCAATTAACAATGCATCGTGCAATTGCTGTTGATTTAAATTCGGCCGATCCGAGCGGAATCCCGAGATCCGCACAGTTTAGGTAAGATTTTGAGCTTTTGTCAAAAAACCGTTTCAAATGTTGGAAATTGGCCGGCAAGAGTCCCCAAAAGCTAAATACCCCAAAAGTTGGCTGAAAATGGTTGATATACAGTGCTGGCCAAAAAGAATGCGTCGACTGGTTTTTTGACTGTAACTTTTTTCAAAATAGAGCTGGAGTGTCAAACTTTTTCTAAAAATGTAGCAAATAACCCTAGAAAAGTATGCTAAAACATTTTTACCCAGAAAACCACTCTCTTGGCGACAAAATTAACTTTTTGGAAAATTTCGGAATTGCGGATTTTTTTTTATTTTCAAAAATCTGACAATTATGAATGTGTAGAAAAAATTTGACCATAATTAAAAAAATAATTAATTGCCGTTTTCTATTTTTCCCAAGTTTTTGAAAAAAAAAATCCAAAATTCCGAAAATTTTCAAAAAGTGAATTATAAAATGCCAAAAAATTGTTTTCCGTTTTCTGGGCTAAAATGTTTTAGAGTATTTTTTCTAGGATTATTTGCCACATTTTACAAAATAATTGGACACTTTAGCTCCATTTTAAGGAAAGTTACAATTAAATAACCTGTCGAGACGACAGTGTCAACGCATTCTTTTTGACCCGTACTGTAAATTTTTTCAGAATCCAGCCCTACAGTCACCACGACCACAAACTATATTAATTTATAGCCAACCTGGACTCCGCCAGGATCTACCGTAACCCATGGTCCAACTGCTGTTCACCAGATGCCTCAAGCTACAGCAACCCAAGGACTTGCAGGAACCGCTCAGGTGTTCCAGGGAATGCATAGAACGGCACCAGCAAGACATTAAACTATAGCATTGATTGGATCTCCACCTACATTGTACAAAAGATCACCGGGAAAGCACGCCGCTCACTCCGACTTGCCGTATATAAGGACGTGCAACTCAGCAAGTTCCATCAGAAACTTCGTCGTGTTCTGGAGCCGCCGGATCACTATAAGAAGAATTGCTGAGATCGGCAGCAACTTTCCAATCGGTGTATTGGATTTTGCTCATCACGACTCCAGATTCGCTCCACATCGTGCAATCGCAATTGGTTCGAATGGTGCGGTTTCTGGACAAAGTCTCGGTTCCGCGTAGTTCAGGTGAGAACATTTGGTCTGAAAAATACTTTGAATATTTCAAAATTGGCCCGAAAAAGTACAAAAATTACAATTCCTGAAATTGCCTGAAAACGTGTGAGATTGATTTCAAATTTTTTTCAGAATGTAACCACACCACCGTCTTCCAGGATCATCGCCGTCAAAATCGCCGTCATCATCTCCATTGCTGGATCTACCACAATCGCCTCATGGGATGTTCCGAATAGTTCCGCATCGTGGGCACGTTGTTTGTCTGAATTCAGTCGATATCTCCGGAGTGTTGAGATTCGCGCAGTTCAGGTGAGATTTTGGGTTTGTATTGTCTGAAAAATCGTTTTGGCTATCTCAAAATTGACCGGAAAAGACAAAAAATTTTAATATACCGCTATTGGCTGAAAATTATCAGAAATTTCTTCAGGATGAAACCACTTCACCGTCCTCAAGATTCACCAGGACATCCAGGACTACGAGCTCCTGTCCCGGTACCAGCTCCTGAAATCCACCCGTTCAACAAACTACTGAACAACCAGCTCTTATCGATTCATTGAGTTCGTTAATCGGACCCCCAATCGGTGAAAACTCTGTGATGTGACCTCCCAAGGATAACTTGTTCGGTGGAATTGGTGTGAAATCTGAACGATTGACCCCAGATGTCGGACCATCCCAATATTCTTCGCCTGAAGCTCTTGTTCTACCCGCTCTTGAACAATTTGCTCCCGCACCCCATTCTGCTCCATTTGGTTTTGTTATGTTAGCTCAAAAAATCAATTTCGGCGCGGAAGTTCCAGAACAAGGTGAACCATCGTCTGCTCACTCATGTGTAGTTTCTGCTGATAATAAATCGAGGAAGTCGAAAAATAAGAAAAATTCAAGTCAAAACTTCAAAGAGAATTCAGTTTTATTCTTCCAATCATCTTCCACAAATTACAATTTTCAGACTCCGCCAACACTGTAACGAAGAAGAAGAAGAAGACGCACAAAAGAAAGATGACATTTTCTGCTCCTTAATCACCTACTCAACTAAAAAATGGCCTTCAAACTGCGAAAGAAATAAAGAACGATGCTATAGAACCGAACGTAAACAATGTCATGTCGATTCGTTAAAAAAGTGATATCCCAGAATCCGGAGTGAAGACCGCTGCCGAAGACAAAATGACGTTCCGAAATCTGATGTTGAACTGATTTTGAAGTGCAGAATGATGCTCCAGAATTAGGAGTGAAGACAGACACTGAAGACAATGATGACGCTCCAGAAACTGTGTTCAAGATGGTTACTAAAATAAGGAGCAATGCTCCAGAATCCGAATGCAACTGACATTGAAATTCCTGGGGAGGCATAGAGCGAGTCGGATTCAACTGGGCTCCGCTTACTCCGCAACAGAAAGAAGCCGCTGGAATCACTTTTTCGAAATGAGCTGTGAAAGTGAGTTTTTTTTCAAAACTTTAAGATTTTTAAAAAATGTGAAATCATTTTTGAGGCCACTTCAGTAAAACAAATACTTGATTTTTGGTCGAAGGTTCTTGAAAATTAAAACTTTTTTGAGTGAGAAAGGTGGAAAAGCTTGAAAAGGAGTTTTTTGTAATAAAAAAAAAGATAACCATAATAGTGAAAAAAAATTAAGGAGAAAAAGTTGAAATTGTCGGAGACATTGCGATTCATTTCAAAGCTGTGGATACCGACGCCCATCTGAAAAGTTTGAAGAAAGTTTGGTTTTTCTGGATTTCGAAATTTTTAATGAAAAATTAACTCACTAGAACTTTTGCTCTTGTTTTCATCATAATGACTGCTTTATTCTTCAATTGTATGGCCACTTTTTCACTGCTGATCCATTGCATAACGTTCTTTTGCTTATCAACAAGTTTTGCGAGAACGTCTTCTATCCCACCTCCGATATTTCTTGGCGCCAACTAAAATATTTCAAATTACTCTTCCTAAAAAATTGTCGTCTTACTTCACTTGTTCAAAAAATTTCAGCATTCCGTTGTAGTGGTTGCTCTTAAAAATTTCCATAAGTCCACTCGATGACCATCCTATCAGAATTAGCTGTTGATCCAGAGAACGTCGTCAAAGTGTTCTCAAATTGATTTTTAGCTTATGAGGCAAAAAAGTAAAATCGTTCACCATCTCCAATTTTTTCGATGAGTTCTAGTTCTAGAATTTTCTCAGATTTTGCCAAATTTGAAAATTGAGATAACACCGACAATCGCAACCATTATCAAATCATTGTGACGGTTCTGTGCTATGAAATTCAAGACGGCCAAATCTAGAGTACTACAAAATACAATAATTAACTCAAAAACGAATCAAGAAAATTCTACTTACCTCTTCACCATTTGTAGACCAAATCATTAGGATAAAGAAAAATTCAGAAAAATACATCAGAAACTTTCAGGTTCCTACACACGGAGCCTTGAAAGAATGAATTTAGTGAACTGCAAACCACTTTATATACTCCCAGATATTCTCTATAACCTCTCCTCAATTATGTTCTCTTGTTGCTCATGTGATCCGACTTCGAGATTTCAAAACATTTCATATTCAAATCTGTTTTGGTCGTTCTCAAATTCCAAATTAATTATTGCTCTTAACAGAAAATCCAAGGCTTCTCACGGCACTATAATGAACGGTTTCCCCTTTATAATCCTGCCCCCACCCATTTCATCTTTTGATTTTCTCTTTTCTTTAGTTCATATTTCCCCTTCGCCCAATTTGGAAGAGGGTCTATTGCAAATTAGTTCCATTCGGAATTAAATGACATTCACTACGAACCCCTTATTACTTGCGCAAGCCTATGCAATAGCTAGCTTTTTCTAACCCTTCTCCAAGGTACCTATTCCAGTTAATAACATATTCGAGCGTATCACTCGGACTAGTTTCATAGTATTATGGTCCCAGAATCATCTCTGATACTGTAATCAAAAATTTTGATTTGGTCCACTTCGCTGTAAACTGAAAGAAAATACAGAATAATAATAATGAGAAGTGGACAAAAAATTAATGCTGTACATAATACTGTACAATTTAGTAGGGTAAACATCTAGTCGCACCTGTGCTTGAATTTTCCAAAAATACAGTAACCATCAAAAATCCAAAAAACACAAAAAATGAATTCTCACAAGTTAACAAAAACGTTTTTTTCAGAATTCCACACTGTGGCCAGAAGAATCGCAGAACCATATCCAACTTCCTAGACTTCATTCTTCTAAGTTGAGCAACTCTTCTGAACTCATACTAAAATTTTATTTCTATTATTTTCGTCTGGAAGCAACTAGAGCAAGGTTAGTTTTCTCTTTGATCTAAAATCACCATAGTGAACAGTCAAGGTGTATGTTGGCTCACAAATGACAACCATCTTTTTTGTTTGTTGCGGTGAATAATTATCCTTATTTTTCAAAAAAGCAATCTAATTTCCCTTGTTTCAAAAACACTCGAGATTTAAAAGATCAATGCTGAACATGGAAAACACTAGTAACGTTCCATTAATTATAAATAGAGATCGAGAGTCCAAAAGTGCACGTGGCGAAGACAGGCAGGGAGCCAAGTGGCGTGAAAAATTACATAGAAAGAAGGTCATTGGGTTCCAAAGCAACTGGTCCGAAATAGCGCCTCAGATAACTTTCAGGTCCGAATAACTTTAATAGTTTCACAGTGGAGGCGGGTTTGACCTATATATTTTGGTTCCCCGGTTCTGAAATTCTGAAATTTGAAGAATTGCAGTTTGTTATTTGTAATTTATTTGTTCAGAAGTTTATAACTAGAGTAAATTAAATGAGAAAACTAAATTATTTATATCCAAAACACCGTAATAATGGCCAAAAACCCAAATTTATGCAATAAAACCCTAGCGAAAAAATAAGCTCTCATTTGAAATTGTTCTCGAAATTACATCACAATACTCCTCCTCAACAGCTTCTCTTTTTTATTTTTCCAAGTTTTCCCATTCTTCGTAAAGTGAATAACTCGGCAGATTTTCTAGCTGAAATTGGAAAATTAGGAACATCTGGACACGCAGACACACAGGAATACCTTGTAGGCAGAAAGTTCAGGATAGCAGAGAGGATCTCGTGTCTTCGGATTCGTCTCAATGGTGTCTGTTCTTGTCCCCAGCACTAAATTTGGCACATTGCCAGAAACACAATCCCAGAAAAATTCGCAACTTTCTTCCTTCCAAAGATTCAGAGTGTTTGTAGCATATCGGATGATTTTCAAAGCCAAATGTTCATGCTTGGCTGAAAGTAGGAAAAATTAGGGGGCGTGGCCTAGAAAACCAAATTTACCATCTCTTCCGTCCACTTCTCCAAAGCACTGTACTTTGATTGCTCCGCGGATTGTGTCCTCGAAGAGAGCAAAAACTGTTTCCTTGCGTTCGTGAAAGGGCAGGTTCTGGGGATGGAGAGCTGAAAATTGCCAACCTAACTGTGGGAAATAGAAAAAATAATATTTTCATATTTAAAAACTAATATTCAACAAATTGCGAAACTTTAATTTTTAATTTTCCAAAAATTACTGAATACCCATTTTTCGATTTTTCGATTTTTCAGATGCTGAAATTCTGAAAAAAACTTCAGAAGGTTCTTTTTTTCAAAATTTTCATTATTTTTTTTAGAATTTTTTTTTGATTTTCTAATTCGTTGTTGGAATTTAAAACGTTTGAAAAGTTCTTGAAATCATTTTCAGAAATAATCAGAAAACTAATTTTTTGGAATTTTGAATTTTTCGAAATCATCATAGAAACTGATTTTTTGAGTTTTCGAAATTCAAGGAATTTCTGAACGGCTGGAATATCTCAAAATTTTAGAGAAAACTGGAAAAATAAATAATTTCGGAATTATTTGAGTTTTTTTTGAATTTCGAAAGTTAAAAACCCCTGAATTTCTGATTTTTTGAAGTTTTTGAGAAATAAAACTCCACAATTTTTTTTTGAAAGTCTGTGAATTAAAATTTTGATGAAATTGAGCATTAAATTTTCTCAATCCATTTCATCAATCAAAACATTAAGACATAAAATTTTCAGATTTTTTGAATTTTTAACTTTTTTTCTCGAAATTTCTGACACGCTAAATAATCCTATGAAGCTTCTGAATGTCTTTTGAGTTCTGTACATCAGGGTTTTTTTAATTTTCGAATTTCAAACCTTTTTGGAGGAAAAACTTAAAAATAATTAATGGCAAACTCACATTTTTCAAAAACATTTATCGCATGTTTCCAGAAGTTGCGAAATCATCATATTAAAATAGATTGAAATATTTAGAAAAATCAAAATGAATACTAGTGCCCAAAAATCAGGTAGGACACATTGGGAGATGGTAAAATAGTATGATTCGGTGTTGGCGCGGGAGCGGAGAAGGAAGAGACGCAGAGATACAATGATAAAACACACAAAAAGGGCGTGGATGATACACAAAAGCTAGGGTGATGGTAATAAAATATGCAAGAGAAACAGGGCAATATAATAGAAAAAAGATGCATTGTTGAAGAGAACAAAGTCAAAAGGGAAAAATATAGAAAAATAAGGATAATTGAAATAAAATTGAAGGCATTGACATTGAAAAATAAGAATTGGAGAATTAAAAAACATATTACGAACTCTATCGATGGAAATTCTGGATCAAGAACCTGGCGTTTTGTTATTATTTAGGTTTTAGGGGGTCAGTTCAAACCGGAACAATTAATCGTAAAAAAATTCAGATAGATAATAAAACCCAATGTGAACCTTCCACCTAGAATATTGTGTTGTGAACACTACGCTTCCACAAGTCGTGTGGACTCTCCTGGCAACTTTCCGATTCTCTCTATTAGCAAATACCCACGCCAGCAGAACTATGCAGATCCCCTCGCAGAACTGCAGTTACTCTTCCCTGTTTTCTATTATCTTGTTTTATATTTTATTTACAGATTTTCCCATCATGTTCAACTTCTTTTTTTTCGATTTTCCTGCCGACGGGAGAAATTCGAACTCTTCTCGTCTCTTTAGTCGCCACGATTTCTAATCAGTCGGAAAGTAGTGCACTTTCTGCATCATTTTAGCCCTTGCTAATTGTAATTTCTTGTCGGCTGGCAGACTCATAACTTCACTTCTTTTTTCCATGAATTGATACTTCGGTCTCGGAACAGACTCGTACTGATATTTTTGTTCCCCCGCAGAATATTGCAGATTATTAAAACGCAGATGGAACCGATCCACCGGGGAAAGGTTCCCCAACGAGTCCGTCGTCTCCGCAGAGGACTCGTACAGTGCATATCTGGGATTTACATCTTTTTTTAAAATGTTTTTCAGAAAGAAGAATCTTCCCTTTTTTCTCATTCTAAAAATCTCATTTTTAACCAATAATTTATTTAGTCAGAAAAAAAAATTCGGGAAGATTTTCAAAATAAATTCGGGAAAAATTTCAGAGAAAAATTCCCTTCGTGAAATTTTTTGGGACCATTTTTTCCATACCATTTTTCGCGACCTAAAATTTACAAACCTGTGTGTTTTGAACTCATTTATCTCATTTCCTTCAAAATATATCAAACAATGGTCAACTGATAAAATGTTTATCACAACGTCAATTTAATTTTATCATTTGACCGTTTTTTGATACAGGATCCAAGATAAATTGGAAAAATGAAAAATCATGTGTCATTCAGCTGGACCCAGATGAGCAGAGTCTCTTGAGCCAATTTACTAAAAGGTCATTCAGCGAATATCATAAAAAGGAGCAAATTATTTAGTTCATCCTCAAACATTTCTATTTTTTTTTGCCATCCTTTTTTTAGTTTTTCCTCAGTACCCCAGCCTTTATTTTCAAGTTTCCCGACTCCACCTTCTTTTCAGGTTTTTTGTCTTTCTGGAAATTTTTCAACTTTTATTTCCTTCTCTGCTCAACTACGCCAAATTTTGCTCCTTTTTCTTCCTTTATCCCATAATATTTGTACTGTAAAACGTTTTTCTGAATCTTTCTGTTTCTATGTGTCCCCCCGTTCGTCCAAAATAAGACCACTTAATAAATAAAAAATTGAAAGAATTGAAAATTGTTAGAATCGATTTTGATTTATTCTTTTGGAAATCAAATTTCTGAAATTCTGAACATTGAAAAGTCAGTTTTTTTTTTGAAAATTGTTCTTCAAATGCTTGTGGTTGTGTCACTCTCAAATTTTATAGAAGTCGGGAATAACTAACCTTCATTCTTCAAATTTTGGTTTCGACTTCTGATTATTTTGTGTTTTGAGTATAGGGTCATGCGAAACTTCGGAAGTTGTAATTTACAATTTCACTCAAACTCATGAAAAAATCATTTTCACACCTTCTCACTCATCTCTGAATTTTGTCCAAAAACCATAAAAGCGGCCACCCACCGGTCACGAACTCTCATCAAGCGGGCAAAAGCATGGTTCGCTAACCACCACATTTTAGGACCACTGAGCAATTACGGTGGGGACAGATGGAACCGATCCACTGGGGAAAGGCGCATACAATGTACCTCTTTCCTCTCCCTCTCGATCTCCTATCCCGTCCGTGCCCTCTTTGCCTACCACCTTTCATTACGATGAAAACGAGGAACATCTCCTGTTGTCGACCCAAAGCACAGACGAGCGAAAAAAGGCAACACATCTCTGTTCCTTCCCTCATTCTGTATGTTCCGCCTCTTGTTCTCCAATCATGCAGCTACGTCGTCTCTTTTCTGCGTCTCTTTTCAACTAGTTATGTCTTCGCGACCCGGCCAGTCATCCTCCGACCACGCCAGTTTAGTTTATTCTCCCAATGGTGCAATGTGCGCGCCTCCCCTTTTCTATTTATTGATTTTTCTGAAACTGAATTCAATTTTCTATACTCTGTGGCACCTAGAAATGAATGGAGCCAAGCTATTTTATATTTTTCTGATTCTTATTGATTTTAATCTAATTTAACAAGGTGAGACGACTTTTTGAATTTTCGTTTTTTTTCTGAAAATTGATTTTCCAGTTTATTTTCATAATTACGGAGATAGAGATTGAAACGAGGATGGAACCCTACAAAACAGCATGTGAAGAATACATGTATAAGGCAAAAATGGATTTCGAAAAGGGTGACTACAGCAGTAGCCGGGCCAGCAGAGAATAACAGGTGGAAGCAGGGAAGAAGATGGAGAAAGTCGATCAGGTGGTCAAGCAAAATGAAGAAGATCTCCACAGGAGCAGTTAATAGCATATGATGCACTTCGGGAACTGGACAAAAAATAACTGCTGAATTCAAATTGGACCATAAAAATTTTGAAAATGAAACCAGCGCTCTACAGATGTAGAAGAAAAACAGAAGCTTCAAGAAAACCTTTGAGATTCTGAAGCACAGAAGAAAACATTGTGAAAGAAGAATTTAGAGAGACACTTGGGTTTTGAAAGGTGACCCCATTGGAAAAAAACCTTTTTCTCTTTCGAGTACTGAGCCTCTACGTGGCGAAAGGGATCAACAGACTTTATTGTCTGGCTAATCAGTACGAACTCTGGTAGTTAACTTTTTTCTATAGATATTTTTTTCTAGATATAATTTCACCTTTTGTAATTGACTTTCCGGATTAATAAAAAAAAAAACAAAAAGCATTTTTCGAAATCTATTCGACTCTTTAGAACACGAAACATTATTTTCAAAAATTCGCTGAGAAAACATTTTTTGGACCACCACTATTGTGTTTGTCCAATAAAGCAAGTTTACAGCGAGTTTCGAGAAACTGCACACTTTGCCAATAATCCATTCCACTAGATTTCTTGCTAGCACTCCCTTTGCAAGTGCATTTCCTTCTGACGTCACTTTAACCTTTCCCCATCATCTCGGCCCTTTATTTCTCCACCATCTGGACTTTTCTCTTCTTGACATACGTGCGCACATCAGTTTGGTTGGGCTCTATACAATGACGGCCGATCTGCTGTATCTGGTGACCCCGTTTTATGGGGAAATGTCTAGAGTCATCCTCCCACCACACCAACGGACACTGGCTTGCTCGTCATTAGCAGGCGGAGGACACCACCACACCACCCCCCTTGACGCGTTTGCCGTGTCTGACTGACGCAGTTCTTCTGCGCGTAGTCAATTCGCCTGATTTTTTTCAATTCTACCCAATTTTCTCATCGAAACTAACGTTTTTCATTCCAGATTGCTTCAAATGCTGCCGCCAACCACCCTGCTCTAAAAACCCAATTTTTCAAGATTTTTCAAGATTTTCCATTTTCCTCATTAACACATTTACCCTATAATCACAGAAACAAATATCAGCTCAAAACCAAATGCTTAATATTTCAGTTATTCCTCGACTGCCGTGGTCGCCAAGGAAAAAACTGCAGAAGCCGAATCACTCAGCCATCCAAGACCTCTGCAAAGATGAATCCGACAAGACGACTCTCTCTAACCAGAAGAATATTGATTTCAAAAGGAATTCTGAATGATCTGAATGACAAAGGAAGAAGATTCCTATCTATTATAGTTGGATCACCATCGATGTCAGCTTCAGATCGACGGAAAATGTTTTGTCCAGAAAGTGGATCCCGCTCAAAAAGGAACAAGACAAGGATGACATGCGTCGAAGAAGAAGAACCTCGGGACCTGCCATAATCAAAATTTTACGCCAACTACTCAACATTGGAAGCGGTGGTTTACAAGTCGCTGGTACCAATGGAACAGGATTTCTCTCACAGCTGGCAAAAACAATAAGAACGTCTACGATATTGTAAGTCACTTTTTGGATTGAACGAAAATTTCCGAAAGCGCATTAAAAACATTAAAAATCCGTTTACAGGACCTTCTACCAAAAACAGTAAGCGACCGGAAACTGCCCAAACAAGAAAAAGTGCAAAATCTTCATCTGACTACTCACGTAAAGAAAATGAAGACAATGGGAAATACGGCTCTCTCGGAAACTTCTGCCAAAGTTGATACAGAACTCCAAATGCTCATACGGCTGATTGATTCTTGTCGAAATGCTGGCGGTGCAAGAAAGCGTAGCTTCTTGTAGAAGATTCAATCTGAATGACTCAGCGAATTTCACAAGGAACTTTGCCGTCTTCTCGAGCAGTCGGATCACCGTCGGAAAAATTGCCAAGATCCGCAGCACCTTTCAAAGCCATCAGTGTTTTGGATTTTGCTCGTCCAGACTCCAGATTTGCCCAGTATCTTGCAATTGCTGTTGGTTTGAGTAGTGCGATTCTGGACGGAGTCTCGGATCTGCACAGTTCAGGTGAGATCATTTGGTCTGAAACAATAGTTTGAATATCTCAAGATTGACCGAAAAGGTTAAAAAATAAAATAAAAATTGACTGAAAATGCCTGAGAATTATCTCAAACCAGCAAGCTGGTGCGCCTTCGGCGCGATTCAATCTAGTTTTTAAAAATTGGTTCGTAGCTTCTTTTCTCACGTTTTCTTGAAGGGTCACGTAAATTGATACTTATTTTTTAAGCTTTCCAAAAGTCCACAGCTTGACACCAGGACCAACAGACGCGCTTAGCGTTTTATATATAAGAAAGATTGTTTCAGAATTCAACCACCTCACCGTTTCCAAGGATCACCACGACACCCAGGATCACAAGCTACAGTGATCTATGACTAACCAAGACCCCCACCAGAAGCTACCGTAACCCACGGACTTCGAGGAGACACTACAGTACTCCAGGAAATACACAAAGGGACATCAGTAGGACTTTCAACTACAATAGTGCATTGATCTTCACCTACAGTATACTAATAGCCACATGGCTTCAGCCTGCCCAAAAAACGCCGCTCCCAACAATGAGTGTCTTTCGCGGATCTGAAAGTGCCACCTACCATTTAAATGGACCAGCAACTCAGCAAATTTTCCTAAAACATCTTCGAAACCGCCGGATCGTTGTCAGAACGATCAAAAATGTATCGTTCCAGATATTCTCTATAACCTCTCCTCAATTATGTTCTCTGGTTGCTCATGTGATCCGACTTCGAGATTTCAAAACATTTCATATTCAAATCTGTTTTGGTCGTTATCAAATTTCAAGTGAATTATAGCTCTGAACAGCAAATCCGAGGCTTCTCGAGACACCATAATGAACGGTTTCGGTTTTATAATCCTGCCCCCACCCATTTCATTTTTGGATTTTCTCTTTTCTTTAGTTCATATTTCCCCTTTCCCCAATTTGGAAGAGAGTCCATTGCATATTAGTTCCATTGGCTTCTTCATCCACTATGAATCCCTCATTACTTCCGCATGCCTTTCTAATAGCTAGCTTCTTTTAATCCTTCTCTAAAGGTACATATTCCAGTTAATGACATATTCGAGAAAAGATAGTTTCATATTACTATGTGCATAGATCCCGGATTCTTATCTGATACTATAATCAAAAAATTGTTTGGGTCCGCTTCAGTAAGAATTAAACAACACAGAACAATAATGAGTAAGGAACCAAAAAAGACTATAGTAACACTGTACCTTCAAATAAGGAAAACATCCAGTCCCACCTTTTTCAAAGAATAAAGTAACCTTCGGGGATCTAATAAATGCTTACAAATAAAATTTCCACAAATCAACAGGACCTTTTTATTTTTCAGAAATCTACACTTCAGCCATAAGGATCGCATCATCATATCCACCTTCTTAGACTTCATTATTCCAAGCTGAGAAATTCTTATGAACTCATACTAATATTTTTTTCTATTATTCTTATCCGGAAGCAGCTAGAGCAAGGTTAGTTTTCTCTTTGATCTAAAATCACCATAGTGAACAGTCAAGGTGTATGTTGGCTCACAAATGACAACCATTTTTTCTGTTTGTTGCTGTGAAAATGATCGCTATTTTTCAAACAAATTCAATTTGATTTCCCATGTTTTAAAAATACCCGAAATGTAAAAGATTAGTTCTGAAAATGAAAAACACTAGAAAATAGGTTTTGAATATTGCGATTCAACCTACATTAGCACTGCAACAGACTTTTGGCATTTTTTACACTCACCTGAAGTTTAGCATACTATTCTAGGTGGAAAGTTTGGTTCTATCATAGTTTTTTTAAATTCCAACGCCTTTAATTTTACTTCAGTTACTCGTTTTTTTTCTAATTTTTTTCTAAATTTGGATTCTCTCAACAACTCATCTATCTTTTCGTCGCTTCTCTATTATATCGCCCCGTTCTTCCTTGCATATTTTATCACCATCATCCTATCTCTTTTGTGTGTTTTATCATTGTTTCTCTGCGTCTTTTCCTTCTTCGCTCCCCGCGTCAACACCGAATCTTACTATTTTACCATCTCCGAATGTACCCTACCTGAATTTTTGGGGACTAATATTAGCATTGATTTTCTTTAAATATTTCTTCTAATCAAAAATCATGATTCTGCAAAAAGCTTTTTTTGGCAATATAATATAAATTAAAGAAGTGAGTTTAATCAAAAATCGGTGGAGAAACTGATTAATTTCAATTTTTGGCTTCGGAGCAAAAACTGGAAATTTACAATTTATTGAAAACGAATCCATGATGACCCTGAAAAATAATTTACCAGAACAATGTCGATTCTTTGATTTTGAATTGTGGCTTTTCAGGGATCAGAATCTGAGTCAGACCATGAAAAAAAAACGAAAAAAAGGTCGTATGGATCAGTGGGGGTATAAAGATATAAATTG